GGGGGGGGGGGGCGGGGGGGGGCGGGGGGAATGGGGTGAGTCTTGACGGCGCCAAGTGTTGTCTTGACGTGTGTGCGCGTGAGCGGTGAGAGTTAGATAGTGGGGCCACTCGATTCGAACACCGTCGCCGGTGTGGCGCGGGGAGGGAGCAGGGGGGAGAAAAACGATGAAGAGCATGAGGGCATTCCTGCTCTGTACTCGAACACCGCCCCTGGTCTGACCAAGACACTACAAAAGCATTACCAAGACAGGACCGAAACTCCCGGGCTGGCTGAGCGTCTAATCTCCGAAAATTGACATGGAAGTATCTCCGAAAACAAATACGTAAGTAAGGCCGGGGGTTGGGCGCCGCCTTGCTTTTGTATTTGGTACACCTTCAACAGACCAGGGGCGGCGGACCAGGGGAGACAAAGGAGTGTACCACTATGTGCACTAATGTCAAAAAACGAATGGTCAAAGGTACGTGCTTATTCCCATCACCTGCTCACAAAAAAATACATCAACAACCAGGGTGTGTACCAGGGTGTGTTCATCATCTGCACGCCGCGTGCCCCCGAGCCCCTCCTCACCTGCTCGTCCGCGCGGCGCGCGTCTCGCTTGCCGGCGTCCGCGGCGCAGAGAACCCCCTCCAGCGACAGCGGCTTCGGCCGGAGGCCCCGGGCCTCCAGCACGCCCAGATACGCCACTTCCCGGGGCAGCAGGAACAGCAGTGAGTGCCCGCGCTCCCCCTTCCTGGCCGTCCTGCCGACGCGGTGCACGTAGTCGGCCGTCTCCGCGGGGGGATCGTACTGCACGATCCAGTCCACCGTCGGGAGGTCCAGCCCCCTGGCCGCCACGTCCGTGCAGATGAGGATGCCGCTCTTGGCGGCCCCGAACGCCCGGTAGGTCGCCTGGCGCTCGTTCTGAGGAACGTTCCCGTGAAGCCGCATGACGAGGCAGCCCGGTCCGAAGAACTCGCCATCCGGCGGCGGCTTCTTCCCGACGGTGGCGGCGGTCTTCTTCTTGCCGTTGTCCTCGGCGTTACCGCCGCTGCTTCGCCCGGCCTCGTTCGGGGAACCCTCGCCTCCGTCCGGGGATGGGGACGGAGAATCCCCGGGCCACCCCGCCCGGCGGAAGAGGTCGTGGTGGAAGTCGACGGCGTCGCAGGTCGACATGAACACCACCACCTTCACGGCGGCGCGCGCCCGCAGGAAGGCGCAAAGCGCCGGCAGCCTCAGCTTCTGCGTGACGGTCATGTAGTACTGGACCAGCTGCCGCGGGGTGCTAAAATCCTCGGTGTTGGCTGAACCATCCGTCCCCTGAGAGAGCAGGCCGTCGCCGCCGCCGTCCACGTCGTTCCGCCCCGTCTTGGCCTTTGACGACGATGCTCTGCGTTCTCCGGAGATGTGCTTGACCTTGCCGGCCTCGTCCACGGATTCGACTACGTTCGTGTCGGCGTCCACACGGATGTGTCTGGGAGAGAGAGAGAGCGGGGCCTAGTTAGCACCAAGTGATGCGTTGTAGCAGGACCGAACAATCTCTGATGGGCCCAACGGCAACTTTGGTGGGTGGTGCCTTTCCGAGCACATGCGCTGAGTGCTGTGGTCGTTGTTAGGAACGATGCGTGCATGACAGCCAGGACCCACCGGACGACGAGGCTAGCCCGCCCCCCACAGACTAACACGGGTATGCTTCAGAGGGGTGGGGGCAGATACACCCATATTTCGCACCACGCGACAGCAGTTACATCCCCTCGTACAGGCAACTAAACCACCACACGTTCTCCACAGGCGCTTGCATCGCATCAAGTTCCCAAGCTTGAACGCGGCTGCAGAGCACGCCCGGCGAACACCGAAACGCAACTAAAACAGTCTCGCCGGCACACCCCACCATGCGACACACCGCGTACAGCCCCCCCTACCCCGCATCCAACCTCACTTCGAGAGTAGCGCCGCCGATAGCCGCGACACTCCCTTGTCTAGCGTGGCCGACACCATGACGGTCTGCCTTCGTATAACCTTGGTTGAGGGCACCACCGCCCCCCCCTGAACCCTGGAGCCCCCCGCGGGACCCGACCTCACCGCCCTGGCGCTCTGGTCCAAGAGCTCGACGATCTCCTTGATCTGGCCGGAAAATAAAAAGAAGAGACCGAAAAAGGTTAAAACGCAAAACACCTCATAAGGCTGATTCTTACACACCTGGATTCCTTTCCCAAAAAGCTTCACTCTTCAGGATGGGCAGAAATCCGGCTTCTTATACTTGTAGAGCCAGATTCTTCAGTTTTTTGGGTCGACAAAATCCGGGTTCAGCTTTTTGGGTGGCCTCCACCCGAAAAGTTTGGAAGAAATCAGGATGGTGCCCGCCAAGATTTATCATCCCAAAAAATTCACCGTGGGTGAACCCAGACGACAAAATCGGCGAGTACGACCTGAGTTCTTGACGAATCGCTCCCATCAAGGGCTTCCAGCAACCCTACGAATAATAATACCCTACGCAGAATAGCAAGCCCTTCAGCGTAGGGTTGCTGGGAGCCCTTGGTGGGAGCGATACGTCAAGAACTCAGGTCACACTCGATGATAATGTCGTCTGGGTTGATCTACACCCACCCCCCAAGAATCCGCCTCAGGAATCCGGCTTACTGTAAGAACGGCCGGACTTTTGTCCAGCCGGATTTGTGACCATCCTGAAAAGTTATTTTTTTTGGGAAAGGAATCTAGGTGTAAAAGAATCAGCCAAAACACAAAAAACGAATGAGGAAAAACACACTCCACACTATGCCGTGGTACCAACAAAAATCACGGGGGTCGCATCCGTACCTCAAGCAGGAAAAGTGAGGGACTCTAGACAGGCGAATCGGTAGTCCATTGAAGGACAAGGGCAGAACGCGCTTGCGTAGGGCCTACGGGGTACATGAGCTACTGTAGGTGTACCAATAGACAAGGATGTGTTTACAACTTCAAGGTACCACAACAACATCGAACCTGCAACGACAAATTCGAACCTGCTTCTCAAAGCCCATGTCGAGCAGGCGGTCTGCCTCGTCAAGAATTAGCCATCTCAGGGAGTCCCTACGGAAGCACTTGGTGGTCTTGAGGTGGTCCAGCAGCCTGCCGGGCGTGCACACGAGCACCGTCACCCCCTTCCGCAGTCGGGCCTTCTCGCTCTTACGCCGCTCTCCGCCCGAGAGACTGCCTGGAACGAGCCAGATGAAAGGCCGAACCACCCGAGTCAGAACCTAGGGATGCGGTTCGTTGAGGCGTTGAGGGGGGGGGGGAGGGAGGGTAGCCGTCACAGGATGTACCACACTATGCGTGATAGTTGACACATGGACTGGGCTTTTGTTTCTGATAGTCTGTTACCCACTTATGGGAGATTCAGATAAATTTAGTGTTGAGCAAGAGAAAACAACAGCAGCACCAACACGCTAAAGGTCGAGGATAGGCCAGAAGCAGGGCTCCACCTTAACCTGGGCGGTTCTACAGCTGTCGAAACGGGGGTTACCAGCGGCGTACAATTCGTTAGGATATCCAGTTCATCACGTCTCACATACACCAAAGAGAACAATGATTACAGTACATTGGACAAACAGCGACGCGGGAATGTCAAACGTGGCAAAGGCATGGAGCGTATGCCAACGTGGTACACGCAACACTATACCACGTGGTGGTACATAGGACTGGCTGTTGTAGAGTTGTAGAGGCGGGCGCACAACAAGAACAAGCCTACGTCAACGCATCTCTGAACTCAAGCGGCCCCCCTCCAATACCTCGAGTATCTGAGAACCCAGCTCCCTCGTAGGTGCCAGCACGATCGCGAGCGTCCCCTTCTCCCGGTCCACCCTCGGCTCAACGGACGCTAAGTCGCACAGCATCGGCAGCAGGTACGCCAGCGTCTTCCCGGACCCGGTCTCTGACTTGATCACCGTGTTGTTCCCGGCGGCGAGCACCGGCACGGCCACGAGCTGACACACCGTGGGTCCCGTCAGCCCCATGCCCCCGCCCCCAACGTCGCCCTTGGGCTCCTCCAGGTGGGAGACCATTTTCGGCGGTAGGTTAAGCGCCGCGAAGGTCGCGCCGGGTCCCGCAGCCATGACGTGGGCGCTCCGCGCCGACACGAGCGGCCTGACGGCCGCCCGGCGCGACAGCTCTCGCGGGCGCGCGTGGTGCTCCGGGAGCGGGCCGGTGCCCCCTGCTGCTGCATCGGCGGTAGCGACGGCGGCGGCGGCGGCGATTCGCGCTCTGTTCTTGCGGGAAGCCAAAGCGACGGTGGCCGCTGCTCCGCCACGGCCCGCCGATTTAGCTTCGGCTGCCGGCGACTCATCGTCGGCATTGCTTCCGGTTTCCTCCAGCGAGGTTCCGGCGGGAGGCGCCTGCTCGCCTTCGGTAGGGCCCGGGCTGTCCACGTCCATGCCTTGCCGCTGCACAGCGATATCGGTTTTTCCGACAGAGGCAGAAGCGCCACCGCCGCCACCCTCCAAGGGCCCCTCCTTGGGTGTCTCCTTAGCCTTCTTCTTGCTCTTGCCTCCGTTTTTTATTCTCCTCGACTCCTCACGGGGACCGCCATCATCGCCGCCGCCGTCCTTGCCCAACAACGCACCTAGGATTTCCATGGCCTTGGAAGCCTCGCCGTCCATGTCTACCGCTTTCGTCCGCACCGAGTTTGGGTGTACATCGGACGGCAGGCCGCCGTCCTTGTCTTCCTCGACCTCCTTGTCGTGCTCTTTGCCGTCGGCGTCGTGCGCCCCGGGTTTCCACCCGCCAAAGCCGCCGCCGGGCGCGTAGTACGACGTGGAGATTGGCATGCTTTTCTTCGCTGCGGCAACAACGACGTGGTCGTCGTCGTCGTCGTCCCACCATTTTCCTCCCAACTTCGCCATGGCCGCCGTCGCCTTCGCCACCGCGGCCGCGGTGGTCGCCGCCTTGCGGTTCCTGGCCTCAGCCTTAGGATCGTCCTTCTTATTCCTCTTCTTGCTGCTGTTGGGTGTCGAGGTACCATCTCGCACGGTAAAGTCGATTACCCCGCCCGATGCGACCGGTCTGGCGGTGGTCGCCGCACCCCCCGAGGCAGGCCGTTTTCGTTTAGAAGCACGAGCTGAAGAGGAAAGGCCGCCGCTTGGCTTGTCGTCCCCGAAGGGCGGCGCAGCCGCCGGGGTCGGCGGCGTTGTGTGTCTTCCCGCCATCTCAAGCACGCGTCGGCGCTCGTTGGAGAGTGGCTTCCTGTCGTTTTGGCCGCAATCGGTGGTGTTTTTTTTCCCTTTGGGCGAGATTCCCGGCTTGTTTGCTCGAGCGTTGGGACTGGTAGCATTGCTGCCATGTCTCCTAGCACCTGGTGTCGCTGCTGCTGTTGCCTTGCCCGTTCCCTTTGCCCGCTCGGTCCCGCCGCGGCCATGTTGCCCAGGAGAACCACTTGCTACTGCTGGGACGGCTGCCGTCTCGCTGCTTTCCTTCTGGGCGCTGCTGCTGCTGCTGCTGCTGCTGCTGCTGCTGTTGGTGCTGTTCACCGTGGATGATTGGGATCGAGGCTGGCCTTTTCCCTCCGACCCCACTTTCCCCTGCTGCTGCATTTGCCTTGCTGTGCTGCCGCTGTCTTTGCTGCTGTTGGTGGTCGTGGTAGGTTGCCGTTTCTTCTTCTTGTCCCAGGCCTTGCCGCTGGCTCGCTTTTTCTTCTTGGGCTGCACGTCGGCCAAGGGCTCGGACACGAGGTTTAGCTCGAGTCCACCATCATCGGCCATCCTTATTGCGCCCTCCACTCGGTATCCCTGTTCTTGTGTGAAGACCAGACTTGGCCTGTCTGCCTGCGAGACCCACGGGACTGTGAGCTCAACCGCCGGCGGCGGTGAAATAAAAATATGGTGAAAAAAAACGTCGGGTCATGGCGTGTCTCTTTGGTCTCTACGCTGTGCACTGAGTTTGTCCCTTGGTCTCTGCCGTCTGCCCCCACCTACACAGAGAACCTCCAAGCCATGGCGGCGGCTGTGTACATAAACGACAAGTCGGTGGTCGAGTTGGTTCCGTACGCGGCCCGTCGCATAGCGTTCCGCTTGGACGTTGGACCCTTCGCGCTACTGTACCTGGCGGTCTACTGGGCGATATTGAGTCTGGACACCAAGGACCGGTGGGGGCAGGCAGTTGTGTTGGTGGCTCTCCCCTGCGTGCTGGCGTGCCACCTGCTAGTTTTCCTGTCCACGCAATGGAGCATTCGGTTCATGTGCTTGGTGTCGCAGTGGAGGGTGGCTTCGATCGATCGCGCCGAGGTAGGAGATGTTGCAGATTGAATGATCCTCGGGCTGCGTGCTAGGTTTGTTGCTTGGGTGTAATCATACAAAAGCGGACGGCATCACGACATGGCCAAAACTCATGACTCCGTCGCCTTTCGGCTGTGTGTCCTGGGCACGCTTTGCGCGCTTAGTTGGTTGTATACGGGGCTATGCATAATAGCTAATGGCTATGTCCTCTCTCGCAGGCGGTGCGCGCCGAAGGGCGTGCCCCTCTCTGCTTGCACCAACAGCACGTACAGCAGTGCATACCTCAAGTGCTGTCAAGAAGAGCGTGAAAAAAAACGCCAGACGTGAAGAAGTACCTGCCGGAGATTGAACCCGCGAGTTTCCAAAAAGGAAGCCCCCGTAGTAGGGATTGAGCATGGTATTTTTTCGTAGTAACTACGAGGTTGGCTCTTGCGAGACGTGCACCATTTTAGCCTCCTGAAGTCAATCTTGAGAAAAGTTGGTCAAAGGCTAGCAACGGATACAAATAGCGCTCGCGTTCAAGACACGTCAATTTGGGTTGAGGATCAATCTCTTATCACGTCACCACCGTCGAGCATAGGCCATTATTTAGTTTCAGTGCAGGATCCACGGCTGGCTGAGGTGTGTCTCTAACATCTATTTGGTCGATTTTCTTATTTGTCGCCGAAATACGAAGCCTTTGTTTCTGAATGTATAGTTTCTTAATCGCGGGCGCTACAACTGCTGCTGTAGCGGCGACACGAATGGAGTCTCGCTTGAGGTTCACGAAATCTTCATCTTTACTGGTGGATGTCATAAAAGAGAAACCGATCCACCAATTGTATCATTGTTGGTCACGTACGTGGTGAGTATGCATACGGAATGGCACCATGAAATGGCCAAAACTCATGACTCCGTCGCCTTCCTTGCCGTTGTGTGTCCTGGGCACACTTTGCGCGCTTAGTTGGTTGTATACGGGGCTATGCATAATAGCTAATGGCTTTGTCCTCTCTCGCGAGCGGTGCGCGCCGAAGGGCGTGCCCCTCTCTGCTTGCACCAACAGCACGTACAGTGCATACCTCAAGTGCTGTCAAGAAAGAGCGTGAAAAAATACCACCAGGCGTGGAAAAAAACCGCCAGACGTGAAGAAGTACCTGCCGGAGATTGAACCCGCGAGTTTCCAAAAAGGAAGCCCCCGTAGTAGGGATTGAGCATGGTATTTTTTCGTAGTAACTACGAGGTTGGCTCTTGCGAGACGTGCACCATTTTAGCCTTCTGAAGTCAATCTTGAGAAAAGTTGGTCAAAGGCTAGCAACGGATACAAATAGCGCTCGCGTTCAAGACACGTCAATTTGGGTTGAGGATCAATCTCTTATCACGTCACCACCGTCGAGCATAGGCCATTATTTAGTTTCAGTGCAGGATCCACGGCTGGCTGAGGTGTGTCTCTAACATCTATTTGGTCGATTTTCTTATTTGTCGCCGAAATACGAAGCCTTTGTTTCTGAATGTATAGTTTCTTAATCGCGGGCGCTACAACTGCTGCTGTAGCGGCGACACGAATGGAGTCTCGCTTGAGGTTCACGAAATCTTCATCTTTACTGGTGGATGTCATAAAAGAGAAACCGATCCACCAATTGTATCATTGTTGGTCACGTCGGCGACACGAATGGAGTCTCGCTTGAGGTTCACGAAATCTTCATCTTTACTGGTGGATGTCATAAAAGAGAAACCGATCTACCATTGTATCATTGTTGGTCACGTACGTGGTGAGTATGCATACGGAATGGCACCATGAAATGGCCAAAACTCATGACTCCGTCGCCTTCCTTGCCGTTGTGTGTCCTGGGCACACTTTGCGCGCTTAGTTGGTTGTATACGGGGCTATGCATATTTGCTACTGGCTTTGTCCTCTCTCGCGAGCGGTGCGCACCGAAGGGCGTGCCCCTCTTTGCGTGCAGCAGCAGCGGTCACTTGCACGCGTACCGCCTCATGTGCTGTAAAAAGATATGGTGAAGAAAAACGAAGCATGTGACATTGTGAGCTAAGGAGGATTGAACCCGCGAGATGTGAAAATGGAAGAGGTCAAAGCAGGAGAGTGGCAAGCAGAATCCCAAGCAACTGCGAGGTTTGCCCTCGAGCATGAAGTTTTATTAAAGCTATTTAAATTCAAGATTGAGAGATTATTTCAAGAAGCATCGCCGACGCTATCAACTTATAAGTAGATGCGAAACCAACAGGGTCGCTTTTAGTTTTCACGATTTCTTCACTGGCGCCGTGTCAAACAATAAATTGATACGCATTAGACTACACTTTTCGGTAATTTGTTTGTTCAAACGAGTCCATGTACAGAACACACCTTCTCCGCCGCTGGTCGCAATTCTTGCCCCAGCATTTTCATCAACAGATTTTGTAGCGGTTTTGTAGTGAGCGAGGCAAGGTGATATTTAGCTTCCCCTTCATCGCACACTCCCCTTCGTCCCTGACCCTCCTTTGCTAGATATGTTGTATGTGGTGTGTCAAGAGTCCATCGTTCGCGGCTTGTTTAGCCCAAACCGCGGTTGTCTGGATGTATGTAATGGGTCACGCTTCGTGTGTCTCGGCCGAACGCACTTAGCGGTGTGCGCTTTACTCGTCATGTTTCAATGGGCGATAATTGGAGGTTTTCTTCCATGTGTCCTGTCCCGCAGGATCGATTGGGGTGGAATTTTGGATCGGATGCAGCGGGTTTGTCTCGGTTACTATAGTATACCGGCCACCGCGTGATGACAGTGATGACGACAGGTGCAACCCCACCCCCCACTATTGGTGACGATTGACTGCGTATGCATAGGAGAAGCCCATCTAGCATGAATTATGGCTGCTCAAAACAGTCCGGTGGGTAACAGTCCTCGCTGTCGCGCCTCCCCCCGGCCCCCTCCCCCCGTGGGCAGTTGGACAGTATCAACAGCACCAGCACACCCATCTCACCCCCCCCAATTTGGTCCCTCCCCTCTGCCCCCCCCCCTTGACTGATTCCTGCATAGAGCGTGCGAGTCGTGCCGGCGAAGCATTGCGGATCGCCGGAACTGGTTCCGCTTCAACGGCGAAGCGGCGGAACCGGAACGGTCGGTAGAGGCGGCAGCGACGCCGGGGGATCTAGCCGGGGAGGGGAGATCGACCCTCTCGTGCTTGGCTCCGACAAGACGCTAGAGGNCCCCCCCCAATTTGGCCCCTCCCCTCTGCCCCCCCCCCTTGACTGATTCCTGCATAGAGCGTGCGAGTCGTGCCGGCGAAGCATTGCGGATCGCCGGAACTGGTTCCGCTTCAACGGCGAAGCGGCGGAACCGGAACGGTCGGTAGAGGCGGCAGCGACGCCGGGGGATCTAGCCGGGGAGGGGAGATCGACCCTCTCGTGCTTGGCTCCGACAAGACGCTAGAGGTGACCACCATGCATCGTAAACGTAAGACGGAACCCCAAGTTGCCCACATGTAAACACAGAATCAATCCTGGGCAACAGCATAATCCATGAACCCAACGCCTGTCTTTTGGTGTGTTAGGTCTTGGGGGCTGGCTGTTCCTCACCCTATCTCCTCAACAGCGTTTAGCCCGTTTCGGAACGAAGTAGATTTCGACGCTCACGAAGATTGGGGACTCTAAAGACGGGCCGGCTTGTATTTTACCGGAGCAATTTTCTGGTGCGTTTTGTTTTTCCACGGGCACATACGTCACTCTACGCGGAAAGCATATTTCCCTCACTTGAAAAAAAGTCACTGACGGAAGCAATCCAACCAAACGTCCCGACCCCGTCATTTTTTTTGTTTTTCTTCGGGGGGTGGCCCTGGCAGATCGCCGGGCAGGGTTTCGCCCTCCCAGAGCTCTGGTTCGTGTTCCAGCAGACCAAGTTCGTCTTCACTGACGCCGGCGGAAAGCAGGGCTTCGTGCGCATGGAGTACCCGTCGGAAGGGTCGCTCGAGGCATACCTGGGATGCCGGGGGTGGGGGAACAAGGCCGCGCAGGCGGCGGCGGCGGAGCGGTGGGGGCCCAACGTCCTCGACATCCCCATGCCGGCGTTCATGACGCTGTTCGCGGAGCACGCGGTTGCTCCGTTCTTTGTGTTCCAGGTGGGGGGAGAGATTGGCGGGAGTTAGGAGTTCCGCAGGGGGAAACAATGCTATCATAGGCATGCTGCAGAGGCCTTGACCAGGCAGGCTGTTCGAGGAGTCTTGTGCGTGCATTTTCTGTGCTTGTGCTTGTGATCTGGATGCTATTCTACCATGCGTGACGTTCAGATACGTCAGCGGGTTCAGTATCTCTCGCCTGCACGGTACGGTAGTAACACTTTGGGCACCGACAAGCCGCGAATGGTGCAGCGCGAACAATCTGCTGCAGAGGAGGGGGGAGGTGAAATCTTGTGCTGTAGAACGTCGCCCTTGAATCCAAGACTATTGGTTGATCCAACGTTTTTGCGCTGACCCCTACGTACATGCCATCAGTGAGCCCCTGGAGATGACCGGAACGCTCCGACTGTAGGGTGCGACCTTGGTAAATACTCTCGTTATGCCAACGCTTTAGCCCCTAAGACCTGCGCTAGGCATCAACTGATCAGCGGCGCGGCACAGCCGTTTCAAAACACATGACCACCCTGCCTCCCGCTCCCCCCCCTCGTCGCCCTTGCTTGCATGATAACCATTAACCCGCGCTTGCGCTCTCGCCGCTCCGGCCCGCAGATCCTCTGCGTGGCGCTGTGGAGCCTGGACGACTACTGGTACTACGCGCTCTTCACCCTGGTAATGCTCGTGCTGTTCGAGGCGATGCTGTGCCTGCAGCGCCAGAAGAACCTGGAGATGCTGCGCTCCATGCGGAGGGAGCCCACCCTGGTGTACGTCCTGCGCGCCGGGCGCTGGCAGAGGGTTTCCTCGGAGGCGGTGACCCCGGGGGAGGTGAGGGTGGGGAGAGATTCACGTCCAGAGACTCCCCTCCTGGAACACAAAGCTGCAACGAGAGTATTTATAGCAGCAGCAGCAGGAACAGAGACCCCTAGAGTAGCCGAAATCTGTAACAAGAGTATTTGTAGCATATAGAAGCCGAAATCAAAACATTAGACTGGTTTGATTTAGGCTTCTATAAACAGCAGCAGCAGCAGCAGCAGCAGCAGCAGCAGCAGCAGCAGTAGCAGCAACAGCAACAGCAGACGTGCTCGCTAAATACCAAACCCGATCGATGTGCCCGTCTCCCGCTCACCAGGTGGTCTCCCTCGTGGCGCGACCACCTACGGTGGCCAACGCCGTCCGCGAGATGCAGCAGCGCGCGATGCGAAACCGTCACCGGGCGGGGCGGCAGCAAGGCTCGGGTTTCCCGAGAGGCGTTGGCGGGGCAGCGGGAACCGGACTGGGCATGGACCAGATTATGTCGAGCGGGGACTACGGGCTGCCGGGAGGAGGAGGGACGATGGTAGGGGACGAGGAAGCCCTGGCCCCGTTCGACGTGCTTCTCATGCGAGGGAGTTGCGTGGTTAATGAGGCCATGCTCACCGGGGAGAGCGTCCCCCAGGCGAAGACGTCGCTGTTGTCAGCGGGGGGTGCGGCGGGCGGCGGCTCGTGGGTTAAGGTGGAGGACGGAACCGACTCTCCCCACCGGAAGCACGTTATCTTCAGCGGTACCAAGGTGAGCCCGCCCGCCGCCGCTGCCGGGGTTGGTGGGTAAGTGCCGTCCACGCCCGCGATTGGCCTACTTGTATCTTAGTCTTGGTCTTGCGAGGGGGGCAGAACAACAACCCTCCGACGATGGTGAATCGTGTTTGCCGTTGCTGGTGTTGCTTCGGGAACGGCATGGTCGGCACCTGCTTATAAACAACCAGCCACGCCGAGCAAGCTATATGCATGGTTATTTTGTCTTTCTTTATGGTTGTCGCTTTTTCCGCGCGTTCGTTTCACCGGTGCTGGAAGGGATGGATGTCCCGCAAATGTTTTCGCAGTCCCCTCGTAGCCGTTTTCGAGTTTGGCGTTGCCTGCTTTGGCTGCTGGCGCATAGCTCACCCTAGGTTAAAGCTTGTGGCCGTGACAGCCCCGTAACAACTGTGGCCGCGGTGCCCTTCTGTTGCGCAACACAAAAAACGGATAACCGTTTCGCCCTTTGGGAAACAGGTTCTTCAATACGCCGCCGACGACGACGACGGCGGAGCGGTCGAGGGTCCCGGCTCTGATTTGGCGGGGCTCACCCCCCCCCCGGACAAGGGGTGCCCGTGCGTCGTGCTCAGGACCGGGTTCGAGACTAGCCAGGGGCAGCTCATGAAGACCATCCTCTTTGCCACCAAAAGGGTCGCCGCTGGCAGCGACTGGGAGACCGGGGTGTTCATCTTGATCCTCCTCGTCTTCGCTGCAGTAGCGTCGGCCTTCGTGCTCGCCGAGGTGCGGGGAGAATTGAGGGGGGGGGGTGGGGTCAGATGTTTGGCAACCATCATGCCTTTTTCTCCAACAATAAAAGTTTGTGTCGGTACATATGTATGCCTTACGTTTTTATTTCTGAAACTACAGCGTGTTCCATGATGCAGCTTGTCTTGAATCTCGCCGACTGAAGGCTCGCTTGGCGTGTAGGCTCACTCCTGAGGTACGAACCTGTACCCCCCGTTTCCAAGAATCACCGTCCGCCACGCACGCCTTGTGTCAGACTCCCGACACCTTGCCTATGTACAATTCATGTTATTTTCGTTCTCAGGGCCTAGCGGACAAGACGCGAAACCCTTTCAAGCTGGTCCTCCACTGCATCATGATCCTGACCAGCGTCATCCCCCCGGAGCTCCCTATCGAGCTCAGCCTCGCGGTGATGAACTCCCTCACGGCGCTCACGCAGTCGCTCATCTTCTGCACCGAGCCCTTCCGGATCCCCCTCGCCGGCAAGGTGGACGTCTGCTGCTTCGACAAGACGGGGACCCTCACCTCCGACAACCTCGTCATGAAGGGGGTGGCGGGGGCCCCCTTACCGCCTTCCGAGAGGGGGGCCCGCGGAGGGGACGCCACGGTGGAGAGCACCCTCGCCAAGAACCCGCCGGCGGCGGCGACGGCGGCGGGCGACCCGGCCACGGTTACCGTCCCCGTCGCCGAGCTGGGCGAGGTGCCCACCCGCATCCTGGCGGGGTGCCACTCGCTGGTGACCCTGAACGGCTCGCTGGTCGGAGACTCGGTTGAGGTGGCGACCCTCAAGGGCCTGGGCTGGGCCTGCCTGAGGGGAGGGCTCGTCGCCCCTCGGGCTTCCGCCAAGGCGGCGAGGGAAGCCTGGAGAGCAGCCTCAGGTAGCGGCACCCCTGCGGAGGGCGGTAGCGGTAGCGGTAGTGGCGGCGGCGGCAGCGTTAGCGGTGGAAACGGCAGCGGCGATTCGACGGCGGCGGCGGCAGCGGCGGCGGACGGTGCCCTGCAACCGCTGCAGGTGGTCCACTCGTGGGCCTTCGACCCGTCGCTGAGGAGGATGTGCACAGCGGTCCGCCTGGCGGAGGGGGCGCATAGCGGCAGCGGCGGTCAAGCCGGGCAGCAGCAGCAGCGGGCGGGAGCCCCGGCGGCGGCGGCGGCGGGGGGGGGACCTGCACAAGAAAAGGGTGGGGTTCCCCCGTTTCACGACCGCCTTTGGGTCGTGGCGAAGGGCGCGCCGGAGTCGCTCGAGCCGCTGCTGTCGGACGCGCCGCCCAACTACCGCTCCACGTTCTTGCACCACATGGGGCAGGGCTCGCGGGTGCTGGCGCTGGCGTACCGCGCGCTCGAGCCCCGGGTGGACCTAGCCACCTGCCGGCGCATGCGGCGCTCCTCAGCGGAGCGGGGGCTTCGGTTCGGCGGCTTCCTGGTCCTCGGCTGCCCGCTCAAGCCCGACGCGCCCTACGTGGTGCGGGAGCTGCGGGAGTCGAGCCACTCCGTGTGCATGATTACCGGCGACGGTGCGCTCACCGCCGCCGACGTAGCCAGGCAAGTCGGGATGATCGACCAACCTCCATCGCGGACCCTTGTCCTCTCTCGGACGCCGGCAGGAGGGGGCGGTGAGAGAGTAGCAGCGGCGGAGAGCTTGTCCGCGGAGGCGGCCGGGGGAAGCCCGGACGCGTCGTCGCTCTGCTGGGTTTCACTGGCAGCGGGGGGGGCTCCGTCGGGTGGGGGGGGTAGGGTTCCTTTCGACGCCGGAGGGGGTGGGGTACCTTTCGACGCCCCCGGCATCGCGGCCCTTGCCGAGCGCCACGCTCTCTGCGTCACAGGCGACATGCTGTCTCAGGTGTCCGCGGTTACCGGCGCCGGCGGCGCCGGCGTTGACTTCACCGCTGCTCCTGAAACTCCTTCTTCTTCCACCAAGAAGGGCTTGAAGCTTCCGTCGTCGTCCTCTTCCTCGGATGATTTGCCGGCGAAGGCGGCGGCGGCGCACTCGTCCGCCCTGTCGGCGCTGTGCTCGCACGCGACCGTCTTCGCGCGCGTGTCGCCGGCGCAGAAGGAGCTCATCATCGGGGAGCTGAACGCTTCTGGCCACACGACGGTCATGTGCGGGGACGGCACCAACGACGTCGGGGCTCTGCGCCGCGCGCACGTCGGCAAGTTTTTTTTTTGCGTTAGTGATGTTCTCCGGTGCACTTCGTTCTTTTTTTGGGGGGTTGTGTGGGCGACACGTCGTCGATTTTTTCAATGTTTCGGGAAGGGGGTTGGGGATGTGTAAGCGACGAAACGAAGGCGTGGGGTAGGTAACTTAGTTCCTTAGCCCGCATCGATGCTACATTTTTCCGCGAGAGAACCGTAGGGTAAGCAATAGCTGCAAGCGGCGGCTAGTGTATGGGATGACAAAAAAGTACACGACCCCTCCATTTTCTATCGTCCTTCAATCAGCGTTATGTGTAACAAACGTTCTTCTTTGACTTCCGTGTCGTTTCACCATTTTGTTTTGTTTGAACAGGGATCTCTATCGTGAACTCACCGGAGTTAGAGCGACGCCTGGAGGCTTTCCTCGGCGACGGGCAGCAGCAACAGCAGCGGCGGCGAAAGAAGGGCACGGAGGAGACAGCAGGCAGCACCAGCAGCACCAGCGGAAGGAGGGGTAAGAAAAGCCAGGCGAAGCAGAGCAGGCTGCTGGCGTCACGAGAGATCGAGGAGCAGGAGAAAGACCCGGCGCTGGTGAAGCTAGGGGATGCTTCGATAGCGTCCCCATTCACAGCCAAAACCACCTCGGTCGGGTGCGTGCTGGCGGTGATAAGGCAGGGGAGATGCACACTGGTTACCACGCTCCAGGTCTACAAGGTGAGAGCTTGTACAGGGCAAGGTGTCTCTTAGGTGGTCACAAGGCCTCTGTTTGGTGTTACCCTTCCCTTGTAAGACCGAAGACGCCGCCGTATCTGCACCGATTCACCTCAAGGAGTGTGCGTAGCGTTCTTCAAGCAAACGATACTCTTTGTTTTGTGCGAGACTGCGGGTGTTGATTAATAACGCGCGTGTAGGTATACCCCATCTGTGTCCACCCCCTTTGGCTTGACTATCCAGTCCTCCGCCTGGCTCACACGCCCTGTCCTGGACCCCCCCCCTAACCCCCCGCCCGACTCAGATTTTGGCACTGAACTGCCTGACGTCGGCCTACATGCTATCGGCGCTCTACCTCAAGGGGGTCAAGCAGGGGGACGGCCAGATGACCGCCCTCGGCCTGGCCGTCTCCGCCCTCTTCTACTTCGCCAGCCGCTCGCACCCCCTGCGCCGCCTGTCGACGGCCCGGCCGCCGGCGCGAATCTTGTGCCTCCCGGCCTGCCTGTCCGTGTTGGGGCAATTCGCCGCTCACCTGGCGTCGCTGCTGGTGGTGACGCGGCTGTGCGAGGGCCATGTCAACCCGGAGGACCCCTCTGTGATGCCGGACGGGCCGTTCCGGGCCAACACGTTCAACTCGGCCGTGTTTCTTCTGTCCGCGGTCATGCAGGTATTTGTGACTGTTTGACGATCGGGCATGGCTGCATAGTTCAGGATAACCTGTGTACTACCGTATTGCACATGCGCACGGCGAAATACTTTAGGCAGGGGGGGTGAAACGCTTAAGGTCTGCTTGCTGGCGACGGACCAAACAGGCATGTTCGGGGGGTTTTATTTTGTGGAATGATTCGTAGAAGTAATCCCCACGTCTGCTATCCGTGGTCTTGCCGCAACATAAGTCTCATTCCAGATTCCCTGGTACAACAGCAGCATTTTTCACCAGTAGGGCTAGAGAAGGGTCTCTAGGTGTTGCACGTATGGGTGGGGAGTTATGGCCACAAAATGGTGCGCGGCCTCGGTTCCGACTTGAACAATGGGGGAGGAAATATTACGAGCTGAAGTCGGCTTTGCTCGGCCGTCGGGAGTGTACTGGATGATTTCTCTACAATTTAACCAAATCCTGGCAGAAACATCACCCGACCCTCCCCCCACTCCTCTCTGCCGGCGGTGTGCAAAACATAAAACACACAGGTTAACCTACCTATCCTATCCAATTCCTGACAGAAACATCCCACTCTGCTCCCCCTCCCCCCACCCCCCCTGCCGGCCGCAAAACATGAAACATAAAACACACAGGTGAACACCTTCGCCGCAAACTACACCGGGCACCCTTTCATGCAGTCCCTCGGGGAGAACCGGGCGATGTGCTACCTCGTCCTGGCCTGCTACGCGACCCTCCTCGTGGCCGCGTCCGGCCTGGCCCCTTCCCTGGAGTCGTGGCTGCAGCTAGCGCCGTTCCCGGCAGGGTTCCGGGGACCGCTCCTCGCGGTCCTCGCGGCCGACACGGCGCTGGTGTTTGCGGTGGAATACGGCACCCGGTGGTATGCGGGGGGATTCGGCGGTGGTGGGGCGGGTGTCGTCGTTGCTGCTGCCGGTAGCGGTAAGACTAGCGGCGGGAGAAATAAGTCGCGGAAACGCACCAAGCGACCCATTGGGTGAGTGGCTAAAAAGAGCTGCTCCCGGAGCAGCAATGGTCATGTTTGAGTTCAGTTTTGCTATATGTGGAAAGGGCGTTCGTACGTGGGCTCCTTGATGCTGCTGTTCGCGATTCTACGTGTGAGTGTGGTGTAAACTGCGATGATTAGTGTCTGCGACGGGAGTAGCCAGAGGCGGAACTACGCTTTGTACGGCCTTAATCTGGTGTTACTGGTGTGTTATTCTATGCCTTGTAGTAGTCGGAGTTCCGCGTTTTTGTTGATTTTGCTAGGTCGTTTATTTTCTTTGATGTTTCGCAAGCATTGGTACCCTCTTGGGCTGGCGTGTGGCGTGCTGGTTGTTGGAACGCAATTAGCTGAGACAACAACAACAACTAACCCGTCGTGGCCGATGGTACAATTTTGCCTTGGCAACTTGAGCGACCCGTATCCCGTGCACGGTATGGACCGGTTGTATCGCCGGTGGGTTTCATCCCCACTTCATTTTTTGGGCGGCGGGGCCGAGGAACCGCAGGTAGCGGGTGTTCTCGTTCTGCGAAGGCTTGACTCGACATTGGGCACGTGGCCCCCTTTGGCTAGCAAACCCGTCCCACCTCATGTTCAAACATGTAGCTCACTCACGCACAACCATTTGCACGGAGGCTAGCGAGAAGTCGTACTATACGACGTTAACCTCGCAACGTGCAAAGTGTCAAGGGCGGTCTAACCCCCAGCCTTGTGCTACATTCCACGCACAAGCGCCAAACCGCACTACAAGTAAAGGGACCGTTAGGAAGATGTAGACACGCGCCAGAATAGGTGGGATTCCAAGAAATCACAGTGAGTCCCCCGCACACCCTTTGCCACATGTATGCATATGTCAAGACACTTTCCGTGCGTTGCTTGTGTCTCGTGAGGCTAAATCTATACAACATGGCGCGACAAATAACCGGCCCAGTCTTTCGCTTATACATTCAATCGCTTCATAATAGCCGTTTACCACCACCACCAAAGATGTTTTTTTACAGGTAAATATCTACCCTCTCGTTGTCTGTATACCGTGGGTCCTTGGAGCATCACACTGCTTCCTGCCCTCCCCCCGTACAGCATTTCTTTGAACAAACAATTGCGGCAAATTGCCGTCCTCTTCGAGACCAGAGTAATAATAACTTTTGGAGGGGGCAGGCACCAAACGAATTGAAACACTGCCGCCAACTACGCCATCGGTCCAAGACGAAGCGTTGCAAAGGACGAGCTCATCATCGTGGATGGCCTTAAGGCCACGCTGATGGGCTGCCACCAAACGGAACCAAAACGGAAACAGCAGCAAAGTTGCTGGATATCACGCGGGGCGGAGTAAATTGGAGCCTTAGCAGCGAAGAAATGGCGCCACGCTGCCGCCGCCCTGCAGATACTTGGACTCGATCCGGCCGATGGTCTACAGGGTTTGGAACAAGCACGCGTACAGCAGTACAGAGGCGAACGTAGGCGCAAAAGCACCGGGGCCGGAACGCTGAGTGAGGGCCTGGCCTGGATTGAGTTCATTGTCATGTGTGGCAGGTGGATCATGTACTTGCAAATATAGTGCGGTGTCTGTCGTAGACGAAGTGTGAAGCGCTCGTCAACAACATCAGGCCACCAACAGCAAAAGCACCATCAACGAACAACAGCAACAACAAGAACATCAGCAACAACAACACCGACAACAAGACACACCTCGCCCTCGTCCAGGTCCGAGCCCATCTCATCGTCCGTCATCTGGGCGAACTCGATCCGAGGCACCACCATTAAGTCCGCGGCCGGGACGATCGGTACCCCCCAGGTCCGGCCCCCTTCTCCTCTGCGCCTCCCCAGCAAGGGTTGACGCCCCCGCCCACCATCGCAAGCACCTCTACGATCGGGGGTAACAACAACAACGGCTTGCTGCCCCTCCCGGTTCTCCTCTTGCCCAGTGGTGCTCGATGCCTTGTCGTCTTCCGAAGCGTTCTCGTCTACCCGGGGAGCGGAGTCTGCTGACGAAACGCTACTGTGCAGCCGCGCTGCGCTAGCGCCCGACCCCGAGCCAAGACCTGCAGGCAGCGGCGGCACGCGAAGCAACCCCAAAGGCGTCGCTTCGCCTAGGTCGACATCGGAACTGTTGCGCGACCAAGCGGTGGAGGCGCCGCCGTCGCTCGTGTCATTGTCGGCGCTGCTGTCACTTTCCCCTCCCGCTTTGCCGCCCTTTCGATGCCGCCGCCGCTCGCCCGTTCCCGCGCGGCGGCGGCGGCGGCCCCGCTGAGTCGTCCACCCGTGCCGCACGGCGGCGCCCGCATGACCGGCGGAAGGCGGAGTCGGGGTTTCGCTCCGTCGACTCGACGGCAACGGCGCAGCGGTGTTCTCTTCCGCCTCTCCCCCTCCCCCCCCTCCTCCTCCTCCTCCTCCTCCTCCTCCTCCT